CTAACAACTTCACAGCAAATTTTCTATTATTTTTAAAAGCAGATGATCGCATCTACAAATTAAATAGTAGAGTTTTCTTAAAATATGTTATACTTTGAATTTTGTAAAAAGTGGAACTATAATGGATTTCCTCAAGGAGGTTTTATTTCTAGAACTAGACTGGAAATGGAAATAAAGTCACAGAAATCTCCTGTTTTACTGTAGGGAAATGGGGTGTTTATTTACTTTAATAATTGATTCACCGAGGCTAATGCTGTAGAAGAGAGAGGCTATTGAGAAACATTTGTTATTCTTTGATTCTGTTCTCCGTATTTTCACCACTAAGAGTGTTTTGGACAACTATCAAGAACTAGGCCTAGCATCTCTAGAGTAAGGGTACTGAATGTGAATTCCAGTACAATGTTTTCAATTTGAATCTTTGTTTGACATTTTGCTAACTGCTCTCTCTGCGAAGGATCACCATGTCTCTCCTGTTTGTTTCAGTTTTGAAATAATAAGTTATTCCGAAGCAGAGTAGACAGCATGCCAAAACCAAGCGTGCCCCAGTTCAGGTACACCCTGTGGGTGGAGGACTGGCAGATAAGAGTCCCCAGACTAGAATCCTTCAGCCAGAGGGCTAATCTGCAGAAAGTAATAAAATGGGCATCTGTAGAAGCAGATAAAAATACTCACACCTCTTTTTTTTAAACATGCAATTTGCACCACTATAAAACAAAAAACTGAAAGAATGGGTATAGCAGCTATGGTTTCTAATTTGGCGGTAGTAACAGTAATGAAAACATCATACCAATGTCTAGTCCAATGAAACTCTTGGATTTCTGTATTTTGTGTGGGCAACCAAATAAACTAAAAATAGGGTACAAAACGAAAATGCATACCTTCGGCCTAAACACACTGTCTAAACCTACTGCAGTCTATTTGTAAAACTAAGATGTTACTAATAACTGAAAATGGCTTTAAGAAACACTAAGAATTTTTGTAGTTTATTACTTGTAGCAAATTAAAATAAATACTCAGACTTATCATGAGCCTCCTTTCAGGCTGTAAAGCCAAGATACTGGCTGTGTTGTAGAATAAGAAATAGGCTAAGATGACTATAAATTTTCAATGGCATGGCCAAACCATGAATGTAGGTAGAAAGTCATGCTGACTCAATTTGTTTGGGCAGAAACGACACCATTTAGATTACAAAATACATTGATGGTTTAAGCTTAATTTTATAGCTAGCATCACAAAATCAGACTCATCTGAGGGCAACAAAGCTCTCCGATATTTACAAATATAAAATAAGCAGTTATAACTAAACTTTTGGTAAAATGCCTTATTACTATCAACAAGTTTTTCTAATTAATATTGGTAAAAAAAGATAGTATGAGTAAAATATTCTTTTATGCTAAAGTTATGTGTAAAATTACCCGTAGGAATTGCTCTTTCATTACTTTGCCTACCACATAAAGACATTATTCTGGAGACGTTTAAGTTTGTTTCTCCTTTTCTCTCCCTTTCTGTACTTCTCTTAACACCAAATCATCTGGGTGCCTCCTGCTATAAATTTTAGAGTAATAGGCAGTCTGCAGGCTCAGCTTAATCAATTTTCATTACTCTTGAAATTTGATTCAGGCTTGATTTAAGCTTAATTTCACAACTGCAGCCAGTATTTCACTTACACACATGAAAAATTTAATTCTTTGGATAGTTACTCAGAATACCCATTATGAAAACATAGAAACAATATATTTAGAAAACCCCTAAAACAGTGCAGAATGCATTTCGTATTGTACTTTTTGTTTGTCAACTAATCTTAGGGTCTGTTCTTACTAATGGTGATATTACTGGTTATGAAGGAAATCGGAATAACAGCCCACAATATTCTATGTAATATATATGAAAGAAATCACACATGAAAATCAACCCCCTCCCTCAAGCACATTGCATTGGGATGCCTTGCATGCAGGTACTAAACTTCTCTTTTCAAGTGGTAACACTGCCTCCGCTCCTTTCCATTGGAACATGCAAAGTTTAAGAGCTTGAATCCCCAATACATTAATGATCTATTACAGAACTAATTTTTAACACTTATGAAAGTCAATATACTTTTCCTAACTTATAGAAGTGCAAATGTTTTCTAGGATAGCACTGTCCAATAGAAATTTCTGGATGGAAATGTCCTCTATCCACAGTGCCCAACAGGGTAGCCACTAGCCACATGAAGCAAATGAGTCCTTCAAATGTGTCTAAGAAGGAATTGAATTTTTAATTACATGTAATTTTAATTAATTTAAAGTTAGATAGCCCCCCATATTGGATTACTACTGGCCCAGTACAGCCTTTAAGCATTCCGATAGGTGTAGAAGTGGAAAGTAGATTATGGGCAATCAGGAATCTTAAGTTAGCAGCATTATATTTTTAAACTCTGTTATTGATTCCCTCAATATGACTTTTTCTAGAAGGTTCACACCCCCCCAAAAATGAAATACAAACCAATCAAATTCTTTATGCTGTTTTTTATGTATGAATCATCTTCCATTTTTTTTTTTAGAGGTGTAAGACTAATTTGATTGCCAACTCTGCTTCCTCTTTTACAGATGAAATTCAGTGATTAGGTTTCCACATTTTTTAGGTTATTCTTCTGAAAAACATGGCTTTCATACTGTAAATAAATGACAGGAATTTTTACGTTAAATTCACCCAGAAGCACAAATGTTCTTCTCCAGAAGTGGAGACAGAAAGCACAGGCCCTTCACGTTGCCTGTTACATCTGTTTATGCTTACAGAAGTGATATCTACTTGGTAGGCAGAGAATGCCAGTTTCTTGGGAAAGCACCCAGAATTTGGTGAGACTTAAAGAAAAATTTCACTGTTCAAAATAAAGGACACATAGATTAGCTACAAAGCCCTTTTGAAATTAAGGGAGGAAAGATTTTGCTTGCAGTATGGATTCCGCATACAGACTTGCCCGGATTCCTAACCAGCCATAATCATTTGCTGCTGATAAAGCCGTGGGTAAGTTACAAAACCTAAACCTCAGTTTTCCTATCTGTAAAATACGTATAATAACAGTTCTGTTGGAAAAACTTGCATAAGACTTTGAAATGGGCAAAAGATTACTGGGTGTCCTTTCAATGGAATGTTGGATGTTATCTACAGGAATGTGGAGTTTTCTGGTTTTACTGTAGTCTGAAGCTTTGGCTGCCTTTGGCTAGGCTATTTTACTAATCTAAAAGCTCTAGAAACTCATGGTAATGTAAATGGTTCTTATATATGAATAAAGAGAATGCTTTTTTTTTTTCTTAGAGACACATTTGCTCTCTGTGGAACAGATAATTCAAAATATTGTGTTTTAGTACATTATACAGTATGACCAGTTTTGCTTCTTTTCTGATTGTCCATAAAGGTCTGCTCCTCACAGTCTCATATAAATGTGTTGCATTATTGTGCTGGTTCCCTCCCTAATTAATGAGTGAAATAACATTATTGACATATCTTCATTTTATGTGAGTCATGCTTTTTCTTGAAAAATTATCCATTAAGAATTTTTACTCCATTGAGTTTCTGAGAAGATTGGTTTAAAGGCCTATATTGACTGTCATGATCAGTTTCATAGTTTGCTATTAGGCTGTAACACCTCCAGTGTTTTTGTGGGGGTGAGGGGTAGGAAGGAGGGGATACTGAGCCTTTATTTGTGGAAGGGCAAGGATCTGAAAAACTATGTCCTGCCAAGAATGTCAAAAGACCTCGTCATCCCTTTCCTTGTAGCAGCTGAGGCTGAAGGTCAAGGTGGGTGGAGTGCAGTGGCTTAGGTGGAGGCCACAGACGACTGGGCCCTGGGCCTGGCCAGGTGTAGGCCTTCCAGGCCAGCAGAAAGGCCTAGGGGGGTTAGATGCCCTGGGGTCAGAGAGTTAACTGCAGACTTTGTGGGGCTCCAGCAGCGGGCAGCGCAAGATCCCAGTTCCCGCGGAATCAACACACCAGCAGAAAGGCGGACAGGCCCGCAAGCGCAGGCCGTACCCCAGGCCCGCGACGCCCCTCGCCCACCACCGAGGGGGTGGGGCGGCCTCGCCCCGGGCCGGTGCTTTTCGCCCTCGGTTGGCCGCCAGAGGCTCCCTCTCTCTCTCTCTCCCTCTCCTGGGATTTTGCTGCTGGGCTCTCTCTCTCTCTGCGGCCCTAGAGTTAATCCCATCAGCCGAGGTGAGGCACCTGTTACCCCAGGCCTTCCTCACCCCCGCGGCCTCGCCCCCATTACATCCCGACACCCTGGCCGGCCAAACGGCCAGCGCGGGTGACCGCACGTGGGCGAAGCCCCTTCCTGGGCCGGGACGTCCCGGCCCCAGGCCGGCCCGAGTGTGCGAGCGCGCCGGGGCCGGCCGCCGCCCGCCATGGCGTTGGGGAACGCCGCGCGCCTCCTGGGGTCGCCCGCCGCGGGCAGGGCGCGCGTGGGGGCCCCGGCGCGAGTGGAAGCGGCCGCCGCAGCCTCCCTCGGCGCTGCGCCGTGAGGAGTGGGTGGAGGGCACCGAGCGGGCGGTGCGGAGCCGAGCAGCGGCCACCGGGGGGCGGGGGCGCCGCGGAGGAGGGGTGGGAGCGCGGCCGCCCGACCCTCCCGCCGGCGGCGGCTCCCGCTCGGGTAAGGGGGAGGCTGCTCGCGGGGCGAGGAGTTGGGGAGGGTGGAGACGTAGAGGGAAAACCTCGGCTGGTACAAAGGCTGAGTTGCAGGCTGGGGGTGGGGGTGGGCTGTGGTTGGGAGCGATAGGTTGAAGATCGGAGGCATATCAGTGGGATCTATTGTTTCCTGGCACATTGGGAGGAAAAACAAAGGGATTTATGATCATTACCCTGTAATTTTTTTTTTATTTTTCTTTTTTTAATGTGGCAGGGAGCTCGGCTCTCCCCGTGCCACACTGGGATCCGCCTGGCAGCCGCCGGGAGCCGCAGCCAATGTGTTAGGGGACTTCAGGTGCTTCTTGGCACAAAGCTAGACTGCGACCTCCTACCATAGCGCTTGGCGTCACCTGCTCTCCCGGCCCTGCCCCGGGGCCGAGGATCTGGCTTGGGAATCGGCCGCCTCTCAAGTTGGTGTTATTTATGTTTGTCTTTTGTGAGGGCAGGTTTTGAATCCCCCGGCGGCCCGGTCTCCCCCGCACCCGCCCCCTTGGGCTCGAATAGGCGGGGGAGGGAGTGGGAAGGGGGAGGGGGAGGGGCGGATGTGTGAGGCTGAAGCAAATGTCAGGGCAGGTAGAAGGAGATCATCGATGCCTTGCCAAAAACCAGGCACCACACTCTAAAGCCTTTCTTATTTGTCTGCATGGGCCATGCATGCGTGCTGGGCCAGGAGCCGAGTTTCGAGACGATTTAAGTGAAAGTGTGTGCTTCCTCAGCCGATGGTGCATGGCATGGGGCTGATGTGGCTCGGCCTAATATTAAAAACCAAAACCAAAACAAAATGAAAAATCTTTAGAACTACATAGTCTGCTCCTCAGAAGATCTTGAAGTATTTATTGCTGGCCTATTGATATAAAATCCAGCTGTGGGCTCCAGGAGACCTGCAAGCCTGCATTGCGTTGCATTTTGAGCTTGTAGTAAGTTGGAGGCAAGTAGGAATAAACAAATCAGGGCTATGAAAAGAGGTTTCATGGTACATTTGCTTTCTGACCGTCACATTCTCATGCTTTTATTCCCATGACATTCTACATCCCTCTCTGTAATTAATAATTTCTACTCTTAGAAAACTTCCAAATATTTGCTATAACTGCACTTAGAGTGAAACTTATTGCCATTTAAGAACTTTGTTCTGCTTGTTTTGGTTTGAAATTGCACTAGTGCTGCTTTGGGGATGCTGCAGGTGAGAACATTGGACCACAAAGAGGGAAATGAGCCTCTATAGACATGTTTTGAAGTTTGTAAACATAGATTCCAAACTTTTAATTGTACTCATACAGAAAGAATAAGTTCCATCTGATGTGGACAGTCTGAATGAAGTTCATTTTTCTGGACAGTTTAATGATTTCTTAAAGATGCATGAACTGCTGATTTCTTTTATGGTGATTCACAAAAGTGACCAAAACTTGGGCTGAAGTATTGCTTTTAAGTGTACATGTATGTAACTTGTATGTGTATATGTGTGTGATTTTGGTAGAGGTCTCCAAATTGTATTTGAAATGTTTTGTTACCAAAGACCAATCAGAGTTATAACTTTTAAAGTCTTGGCTTTTAAATTCCAGTTTCAATTAGTAATAACCTCTGTTTGAAGCCACTTTGAAAGGAAAAGTGTATGTTAGTTGAGTAAACATAAATTCCAATAAGTAAATGAATTCAGAAACTCATTCTTTTCTATTACAGATGAACCTCTAGTCTTGCTTTGAAAAAAAGCCATTTTGTGTAACTCTTGACTGAATAATTTCCTAATACACCTGTTGCGAGGATCACTGACACAGTATGCCATTTGAGAGGTACTTTTTCTTGATCAAATACTGGTGATTAGAGAAGAGAGGTGTTTTGTTTCTTGTTTTTTTTTTCCCTTGATCATTATGAACATTGGCTTTTCACCCTGAAGTAAAAATGTTGAAAACCGAGTCTTCAGGCGAACGAAGCACTCTCCGAAGTGCCTCTCCTCACAGGAATGCTTATAGAACTGAGTTCCAGGCACTGAAAAGCACCTTTGACAAACCCAAGTCAGATGGGGAACAAAAAACAAAAGAAGGTGAGGGCTCCCAGCAGAGCAGGGGGAGGAAATATGGCTCCAATGTCAACAGAATTAAAAATCTATTTATGCAGATGGGTATGGAACCCAGTGAGAATGCTGCAGTCATTGCCAAAACAAGGGGAAAAGGTGGACCTTCATCTCCTCAGAGAAGAATGAAGCCCAAAGAATTTCTAGAGAAAACAGATGGCTCAGTTGTTAAGTTGGAGTCCTCTGTTTCAGAACGAATTAGTAGATTTGACACAATGCACGATGGCCCTTCATATTCTAAGTTCACAGAAACTCGGAAGTTGTTTGAGAGAAGTGTGCACGAATCAGGACAAAATAACCGTTATTCCCCAAAGAAAGAGAAAGCTGGAGGGAATGAACCTCAGGATGAATGGGGTGGTTCGAAGTCCAACAGAGGCAGTACTGATTCCTTGGACAGCCTTAGCTCCCGGACCGAGGCTGTCTCCCCAACTGTGAGTCAACTGAGTGCTGTATTTGAGAACACCGATTCCCCCAGTTCCATCATTTCTGAGAAGGCTGAAAACAATGAATACTCAGTGACCGGACATTATCCCCTAAATTTACCAGCTGTGACTGTTACAAATCTTGACACCTTTGGTCACCTTAAGGATTCTAATTCTTGGTCTCCTTCAAGCAAACACGGTGATGATTCAGAGGATGCTCAGAAGTGTAACACATCCTTGGTAACAGAAGTGGCTTTGAAAAGTACCTCTCTAGCTTTGATGCCTAGTGAAGAGACACAGCAGAGCAGGGAAGCTGAGGACTCCACATCTAACCAAGAGACTCCTGACAGAGTTGACAAAGACATTCGTGAAGAACCTTGTGCTGAGAATAGGGCAATGCCAAAGTCTGACATCCTTTCACCACAAAATGAACCTTTAGAAGATGCCAAAGTGAATTTGGTTGGGAAAGAGGCAGCAATGCCACAGAAGAAGGAACTTGCAGGTGGTGATTTTATCTCTGCTGATGCTTCTGGGTCCAGTTGTGGGAAGGAAGTACCCGAAGATTCAAATAATGTTGAGAGTTCCCATGTTTACATGCACAGTGACTATAATGTATATAGGGTAAGATCCAGGTGTAATTCAGACTGGGGAGAGACAGGCACCGAACAGGATGAGCAGGAAGATAGTGATGAGAACAGTTACTACCAACCTGACATGGAATACTCGGAAATTGTTGGATTGCCAGAAGAAGACGATATCCCGGCAAATAGGAAAATTAAGTTTAGTAGTGCTCCAATTAAGGTAAGTATGTTTTCTCAGTTTGTTTTCCAAGTTTTCTCTAAGTTTTCTTAGTATTTGGGCCTAACTGTGTGCAGACCAAATTTTGACAACTATGAGGAACTCAAGGTTGTTGATACATAGAATGTTGTCAGGTGATTTAAAAAATTTGGAGTTTGAGAGATATCCATCATATTTCCGAATGTGTTTTACAGTTGAATAAGCCAGTGTTGAATAATATTAAAGTTGAAGAAGTTTGGGGATTGTGAGATGCTTTCCAATGGACTGGAGTGTGAATAACAGGAACACTGAAAATCAGGAGTGCTAGTGTGAAATAGAATTACTTCTGTAATTAGTATTACCTAAGATTACCCAAAAATAATATTTTCTGAAGCTAAACACCAAGATATCATGTATAATGCACAGTGGGAGAGTTATGGTAACCTTGAACTAATACTCTTTATTTCCTTGCTTAAAAACATCTGAATTATCACTTAACTGAAGTGTAAGTGGATTGTGAGGAATGTTGGAGCTTTTTTTTTTTTTTTTTTTTTTTTTTTTGGTACTGCTGCTTGGTAGTGAAAGTTTGATTCATGGAAATATATTAGTGGACTTTAATGGGAAAGCTATGACTGTAAATAGCTTTGCATTCAGAATTTGATAGGGAATTTTAAAATGAAATTTTGTGAAAGTTAAATTGATTTGCCATTCATGGATTTATTTTTACCTCTTAAACACTGGATGAATGCCAGCTGAATTCAGATGCTCCATTAACGACTTCACTGAGTTCACAATTGATAGAGAAGAACAGCACAATGTACATGAGCAGCGGGTGGCGAAGCGTTATTAGCCGGTAGTGGCAGCAGGGCGGGAGGGGAGTGTCAGGGCCTCCTGGCTATTTCAAAGTGTGCCTGCCTGCCGGCCCCTTCCTGAGATTCTGGCATGTCTCCTTAGGGGACCTGGAGGGTTGCGGTGGCAGGATGTGTGGTTTGAAACCACTTTGTAAGGGGCTTCTAGCTTACACAGTGTATTTATGATAGATCTGGAATTTGGTATGGTACCTTTTAAAACTTTTCTCCTCACAATCTCTAATCACTGTTCTATTATCATTTCTACCTGATGAAACTCCCATATAAGGTTGTAGTGTAGTTTGCGTAGCAAAGAGAAATCTGACCTTGCTTTAATGATGCAATACTCTTTTGAAATAAAGTAATAATCTATGAGATTGTCTACAGGTGTTAGCTGGGAAACATTTCACCAGTGTAAGGCAAAAGTTCTGGATCAGGAGGGGCCATGTCAAGTTCAACTGTGTTTAAAGTAACTAGAGAGGTGAGTCTAGTTTCTGAGGAAGCTAAGTTTCTTTGCAGCGCTTGGCCCCTTGCCTTTGCTCTCTCTCTCTCTCCTGTCCCCCAATTCCAGGCACTCTCTTTAGTGAGCCTGCTCCAGGCCTGTTCTGTGGGCTCCTGAGTTTGACAGTTCTGTCCCCTTTGCAAGTATTTCCCGTTGAACATCATCTTTCTACCCCTTAGGAAGAAAGCAGTAAGATCAAATTGTTTCACGTCAAGCAAGGCAAGAATAACTGAAATGAACTCTTTAAGGAGTTCGTTAAAACCAGTCACTGACTCCCTAATGGGAATTAGCAGCTTATGAAAATTTATCAAGTAGAACGCTACCCACTCAGCCCATTTGGACACCAGCTTTGTATCTAGGTCCTGTGCTGGCCAAAATATAACTGCACAATAATAGGTTTAGCCAATTTTGAAGGATTTATCATTGAAATAATGGCTGTACATATGTGATAAAACCAGGTTTTGGTTATGATATTTTGAAATAGAAGTGTTTTTTTTTTCCTATTGCTTATACCAGCAAGCATTTTACCTTTTAATTTTCATACAACAAAGATACTGTGTATTTCATATAACAAAGGATGAAATAAATTACATGTATTTAAGTTTAACACATTTCATCAAGAACATAGTTCAAGCAAAAGATCTGTGAAACAGAGATAATGCCCTGTGTTTTAGTGGGCAGTTAACAGTACTAGTTGGAGTGGATTAATTTTGCAAACAGAAGATTCATTCTTTGCCCTTTGTAATGAATAAGACTCTTGTTGTTCCCATTGTTTAACATGTAAGTGAATTCACTTGGAAATTTTGAGAACTACTTTTCTGCTGGGCGGTGGTGATTATGGTAGTGTTTAGATTGATCTCCAGTGAAGATTTTTGCCTTAGAGAGTGGTCATACTTGATTCAGTTCAGAAAGTGTTTATTGAAGGCTTATCATGTGTCTATTCTCATGCTGTTAGCTGCAGGAGAACAAAAACTTACAAGGTTACCTTTTCCTCTGTGAGCTTGTAGAGTCTATTCTTAAACACATATTTAAAACCCCTGTAACTGTGTAAAAACTTGGGCCACAGTGGCTAATGAATACTTGAACTGTCTGGCTGTGCTAGGTAAGTGGAGTGAACGGAATCTGATTGATCACTTGGAAGGGAAGACACTCAGCTATTCCTCATGTGTGCTTTAAAATTCTTTTTATAAAGCATTATTTATAGAATGGGAAGTTAGGATTTCGAACCACAATCTTTTCCTTTGAAATTTCAACACACTTTTTCCAAAGCAATAGGAAGTATATTCCTTATAGAAGTGATCTTCAGAACTTTCACATACTTTTCCTGATACCCTCATCTTATTCTTCACTAGGGTAAAAATTCTCAGCAACTTTAGCATGCTGTTTTAGATCTCGTTTATGATCTCTGTGTATGTGATGATGTCCTCAGTTTCTAATTCAATTCTTCTATAGATGTTTTAAATAGATATTTCTCTTGATCTTACATCTGATCTTCAGTCTGGACTTAGACAATAATACAAATCATAGCTGATCTTTCCTGTGTAGCATATTCCTTGTACATAACTATTGGTGACTTTTAGAAATGGTCAGATTGTTTTTTAATGTGTTTCCTAGTGTCCTGGAAAACTATAATGGGATAATAATAGAAAATGTAAAATCCAACTTTGAGATACAGAGTGAAGGAGTGTTATGAACTGTGCTAATTTGAGATGTGGAATTACACCTTCATTCTTAGGAATCTCTCAAAACCAAGGGATTGAATTGATTAAATTTGTCTTAGATAAATCAAGGAAAGAAAAGCTGACATTTTTCATTCTTTTTCCTGTTAATTCAGAAGAATGTTTACAGAGCTCTTACTATATGTCAAGAACAATGCAAATGCAATAAATACACAAAATGACTAGAGCCAGTCAAATCAGAAACGGCTGGTAGGTGGGAAGTGTACTACCCTCTAGGGATGCTTTTAAGGCTATTCTGCTCAATTCTCTTTTTGGATGGTATTTCTAAGGTCCCTGAAACTTTATAAAGGAAGTCACACTCCTTTCTCTGTTTCTGGTAACCTTATGTCCTTTGAATTGATGTTCTCCAAATACAGTGTCTCTGAAAAAGGGTATTTTCCTAATTCCCAGCAAGAAGGGGATTGCAGGGTTAATGTTGAGGTGCATCGTGCTATACTTTTCCGCGTGTTTCCTCAAACTCTATAGAGCTGTACAGAGCAGGGTGCAAAGGAGACTCCCCACGGGCAGCAGTGTTGCTCTAAACCTTACGTTATAAGTTGTTGAAAACGGTTCCCTTAGCCTTTTCTCCCTCATTTGGGACTCTGAGTTGTCAGGGGCACACAAGGCTTTTTATGCAGGGTGGTGTTCGGAGCATGGTTCTAAGATCCCAACTTCTGTCTTTGTGGAGCTTTTTCTAACAGTCTTGCTCAGTGCTTCTTAAACTTAATATGCATATGAATCACCTGGGGATCTTTGAAAATGTGAATTTGTGATTCAGTAGGTGTTTTGTGGGCAATTACCTTGATGCAGTGGTTAGCCTCCAAGTATACTACCAGCAATTTCAGAGGTTACTGCAGAGACAGGCTCAGCAACCAAATTAGAGTGGTTGAATCACACAATTTATAAACTCAGTTTAAAACCCACAGCTGGAAACCGGAGGAAAGCCATGGAGGAAGTTCATGTACTTACAGGGCTAACAAGTTTGGAAGGACCGTGCTACCTGAGTCCTGGCGCACATTCATATGTCCTCTTCCTCTTCCACATCAGCCTTCCCCATCGGTCGTGCGGTTATGAGGTCTAAGGTTGATATGTGAGCCAGGACTCTCCAGACTAATGGAGCCCTGGGCTAATGATACATACTTGCTTTATCCAGGAGAGTGGGGGACAAGTACGCTTAGCTACAGCTGTAGCTTTGCCAGTGTGCCTGCTGATGAGCCAGGGGTTTTGTTTGCATTTCTTGGGTGGAGCATCTTTGAGTCCAGAGTAGGACCACACTGACTATGCTCGGTTGGTGGCTGGCCTGGAGAAGACGTAGCTGTCAGGAGATGACGTGATTCTCACTTGATCTTTCCACCCCTTTCTACTGGCAAGTGTACCTCTTGTTCGTTCCATTGCTATCTTCTATTTTGGCGTGTCTTACAGGTTACTAACTTACTTATTTTTTAACACATGAATTTTGCCTTCCTCTTATAAGCTTTCCTTATCTAAACTTAAGCCTCTGAGTGTTGCCTTTCTTATAAACTACTAGATTATGAGGCTGTCAGATATTATCACTTCTTATGAGTCTCTCAATCTTCATAACAGAATTTAATATTCCCAGTACTTCTCAAATAATACAGCAGGCACACAGGACAGTAGGTCTGGGATGAGATTGTGTATTTCTAACAAGCTCTGCAGCTGGTGCTGATGGTTCTGGTCAACAGACTACTCTTTGGAGTATGATTTTGAATTTGAGTCTCCTGGCTTGTGGAAGGGGCTTGTCCTCAAGTGCCGGGGCAGCGCATCTAACAAATCTGCTTTCCAGGTGGGTGTGCTGTATGTGGCTGGTTGTGTGCAATAATATTCTTTGAAGATGAAACCGGTGTAAACTTGTCAAGTGCATGAAGCACTCTGTTTCTGGATATCCAAGTAGATGATGATCCCTAAATTCCAAAGGAGTTTGGGTCATCAACAATT